TTTCACGCTGCTCTGCGGAAGGGGGGAGGATGTTACGACGCGCAATGAACTAGAAGTTGATCTGTCAGCACTGTCCTCATCTTCAGGGCAGATGTTTTTACTTTATTCGGCTTAGAATTCCTCACTAAATGTAGTGTTTCATCTCGATGTACTCCGATATAATTTAAATCAATTTCCTCGTCATTATAAATATGACGAATACACATCAAATAGTTTTCTGGTTGCAATTTTCTAATTTCGACTATGCGTAATGTATGCTTTACGCATGCGCGCATTGAAAGAAATGTTTAATAAAGTAAACAAATAAATATAAAGCTTTTTTTTTTTGCAAATTTTGATACCCTTTAGATCATAATTGTTTTTTATTTCATAAATTACGGTTTCATATTTTTAATTTTATAATTTCTGCATGTCATCTTACCAGATTTAAACTGATGATCTATAATCCGGAATCGCCGAAGTCCCGACGAGTACGGATTAAAGAACTTTGACTGTAATAAAAATAGTAAAAATGCTATTTTTTTTAAGACATGTTTTATAGTCTTTAAATATGTCAGTGCACAATGTTTCGCTGCCTGCGCTTCATCTCCCTCAACTAACATTGAATGATGCTGTTTCTTTTGATGTCTAGCATGAAAGTGAATAAGCCCAATTGCTGAACTAAATGTTGAATGCTGTACAGAAATTTATTTAGGACTCAGTTTTTGAAGTTGTGCAAGATGAGAATCCTAATGAGTTTGCTGGAGGCAGAAAAACCTTTCCTTTCCAAGACAATTGATTCTTGCTGTTCGGGGAATAGGCCATGTTGCTGTTCCCCATGGCATGGACAGGCATTGCTGCTGTGCTGTTGACTGATAGAAGAACCATGCATTCTACTTCTAATTTACCTGTTCCACTTTTGTAAAATTCTTCTTGCTGTGTTAGACAAGATAGTGTCCAAGGAAAATACTAGAAGACCACAAACCTTTTTATATGGAATGAATGCAACATGACACATCACTATGCCTTAAAAGCTCTTGACAGATTGAGATACTTGCCTGGGTAGAATGTTCTATTTGGCAGTAAAACTTTAGTTTTACGAGGAGACTGGAGACAAACATAAGCTGCTGTTAAGCACGGAAACCAAATTTCTGAAAATGAGAGCTGCCTCAGGAATTCCTTCTTGTGGCCACATTTCAGACAGTGCACACTTTCTACAAATATGCAGTTGTGCTCAGAAGAACAAAAATTTTCAAAATGGCTTCTGCAATTGGGAGACTGCCATCTTGAAAATGGCAGTGGCTTGAAGGAAGACATTATTGAAATTCCATCTTTGTGGGTGGTGTCAACAGATCAATAGTAGAAGAATTATTTGGTTGCAGTTTGATTTCGACTTACAAGACTTAGCCAGTAAAGCAATTTTATGTCCAAAGAATAGCAAATCTCTGAAAGCAATTCTCTCCAGATTTCCAGGTCAAATTTTCCTACACTACAGTGCAGACTTTGTTATTTGTGATGATGAATTAGAACAAGACACGTAACAGCTGGATTTCACAAATAATTGCCTTCTGGAATGCCAGCTCATTTTATGAATTTAAAATCTGAAGTTATAGTTATGCTTCTATGAAATCTAAATTGATCTGTTGAACTCTGCAATGGAAAAAGGCTTATTATGAAGAGAATTAAGCAAAAAGTTTTAGATTGTGAAGTCATCTCTGGAGAGAAGTCTGAATTAAGAGTTTTTATTCCATGTATTGAACTTTCGCTTGCAGATTCAAACTACACCTTTCAGCTCAAGACAGGACAGTTTCCTATCAGGCTTGTGTTCTGTATGACTGTTAATAAGTTACAAGGACAGACACTGAAGAAAGTTGGAATTTGTTTACCTCACCTACTTTTTAGTCATGGAAGCTTTACATCGCTTTTTCAAGATGTTTGCCTATGAGGAATGCTTGTGTTTTACTGAAAGACACCAAGAAGTTAGGCTATTTGACACCAAGCTGTTCTAAAGTATTCAAACAAAATATTATTTACAGGAAGATTCTTCAGTAAAGAAATGAGCCAAGACTATGATAAAGCTGAAGTAAGCCAAGCCAGCATAAAATTGATGAACTGTTTTCATATATTTTCTTTTCAAGTGTACATAAAACATAAATTTTGCTTTGGCAGCTAGTATATATCATAAAATCAGTATGGAATCTCTAAAACAAACAAGTTTTTAAGATTCATAAATATAAAAATAAATCACGCTTTTAAACAAATAATAAATTTAAAAATATAATTTAATTAATCTCATCAGAATTTCCATTCATTTTAAATGTTTTAATATTATTTTTAATTATGGAGAAGTAACTTGCACTTGATATTTAGTAGATTTCATTTAGTTTAGGATTTGTTTAAATTTTATTGGTGTGAAATCAAAATGAAAAAGGTGAATACACTATAAGCTCAGAACACCAATTGATAATTGCTTGATGAGCAGTAATTATGACTTTCTGCAAGAAAGATTTGTTTTGATTCTGCAAAATGTTTCTTAACAAGCTGTTGGCTACTTACAAACAGATTTACAGAAATTTTACAGTTAATTTACAAGCAAAATACATATTTAATAAGTATTTTCTGATTATTCGCACCCTTGTCTTAGAAAGTCAGCAACCACTGACAACTAATTTTCTGCGAAGCTATGATGCAAAAGACAAAAGTGATTTCCGAACAGGGCAGAGCACTACGAATTACATAAAAAAGCAACTAACAAAATTAATAACACAATAAACAAACAGAATAAAACAGCTTTCTTTTTGCTGTTCTCATCAAGTATACAACAATCTGCTTAAGTTAAAAAAAAAAAAAAAAAAAAAAAAAAAAAACGCAGAATTTCAGAAACTCAGCATCACACATAACTTGGCACTCCACACCCTGTTCTCCTCATGTATACAATGACCTTTTTCCACTTAAAAAAGTCACAATTGTATAAATTTGCCATTTCACATACATTTGTTTCTCCATGTATGCTGCAAATTATTTCATTAAAAAAAAAAAAATCAGAGAATTGCACAAATTTTGATCCATAAAATCCGGTTATTTATAAAGTACAGCTCCATGGAATGTGAATCTTTGCCTTCTCTAATGTTATGCAAAATATATACCTCTGAAGAAATTCAACGCTTTCAACGAAATCATCAGCTAATAACAATTTCATTATAATTCTTTACAAAGAAAAAACTGCATCCAGGGTAACAAAAACAAACACTAAAAAGAAGAGCTCGTGTACAATATGCACATGTACATACCTAGGTTAGCACACAAATATATTTTGCTAACATCATAGATTGCCTATTTTAGTGACACAGCACACTGCATCATAAATACATTTCAAGGTGGTATCGATAATCAGAAAATGCCATTTAGGAAATTTAGACATATTTTGAATAATTAAATGTTAAATAAATTACGAACTACTCTTATATGCATCCTCAAGTCGTCAAATTTCTCGCCAAAACTCACGGTGCCATGTCTCTATCTAAATTTTTTGTCTCCATTTCGAACTTTATGCCTAAAATGTCTACAAAAACACTTGCAAAAACCACATTTTGAACACACAATTTAAGCTAAAAATCCAAAACAAAAAATTCCGATAACAAAAACATAAAGTTTCTAACCAAAAATATTTGACAAGAATCCATGTAAACAGCGATATGTTTTAACTTAAAAAAAATCTACGAACTGCACAATCTAGGCAGCAAAACAATCTACGAACTAAGCACACCTCGCTTTTTAATAAATTAACACAACAACAATAGATTTCAAAGAATACCATGTACACAGCATTCTGTTTCAACTTTAAAAAACATCTACGAAATGCACAATCTAGGCACTATGCACTAATCAACAAAATAAACTAAAATAACTAAAATAAATTTCAAACAATTCAAAAAAACCACAATAATGACAGAAATTCATACAAAAAAAAAAAAAAAAAAAACCCAATGAACATAACATTCTACATAATAAGAACATGAATAAAATAAAATACACTTACCATGAATGAATGCATGAATGAGCAGAAATACCAATTTCATGCTGCCTTTAACATGCCGCCACGTAATCACTATCGTATTTATATGACAGCCAGACACACTATCCAGAAAATTCATACTATGGTTCACAAATAAATGTTCAAAACTTTCTTTTCCTAAATCCTTGTAAAATTTCCAGGCATCCAAAAAAAATAGTTGTACAAGGCTCAACCCACTCTTTAATACACTGGCATCAACGCATTTCCTTTACTTCTATCATGCACAGCCACTAAAAATAATCTCCCAGAACCCTCTTTCAACCACGTCTCTCATTGCAACATAGGCCATTTCAGAACATGCACGACATGAACCAACGACCAATTAAAACAATCCAGCAAAGGAGTATTCAAACGTCAAAAGGGTTGCCATACAACACGCAATTGTGCCAAACACCAGCTCAGAGCACATATCGCCACATTTGGTGATCTTAGGGCGCATATAAGAGTAGAGCCATACATTAAATCAATACTTTCTGATTACCTGCAGCCATATAAAAAGTTGGCAATTCATTCGTAACTTTGTGAAGTGGTGAAAAACATTTATTCTGCTATCTTTACAGCTAATAATACTGTTCTGTAAATAAATAATAACAAAAAGAAATATTTTATAAGAAAAAAAGCAATTATGAAAAAAGAAAACAAAAGTCCATAATGCTAATATTTACATTTTTACAACTAATGGGTACTTTTTAACAAAATGACAGTTAAATATAAAGCCTTTAAATCAATGTGCAGTAAAAAACGTGTTAGCTGTGCACATTGTGGGTTGACTATTGTCACGTGCATTCTTGAAAATGTGCCAAAAATTTGGTATTTCTACCAAATACTGGAATGAGGAGTGTCAATAATGAGAAAGCATCATTAAATTTCTACTAGTATTTAATAAAACTGGATTTTTAAAATTTTACATGCATTTTGACTATTTTAAAATAAATATTACTATTACCTTAAAAACATTTTTAGTTCCACTGTGGGGATATGTTCTTTCCACTCGCATAGTACATTTAGAATGCATTTGGAAATTTTCAAGCCATTTATGAGCATAATCCTGATTTTTCCCATTTGTTCTAAGTCTGGTCTTAAAATTTGTGTTCTCCGAGTTGAAACTGCATACCATATATTCATAATCACCAGGCAAATATGACTATAAAAGAATTATTTCAATACATTAATGAAACTGTCCAATAAATTTCATATTAATATTACATATGTTACAAATGCTTATGAGCATCAACATACACTAAAAGGTTATTATATTAATTGGAAGCTTTTAATGGAGTTCTTTCCGTTTTAAACTATTAAATTCTTAAAACTAAAAATATAATACACAAAATGCTTCGACATTTTGTATGTTTTTCTCATCCAAATAAATGTATTTATTCTAGATTTAAAAATTAAAATTTTGTTTTTTAATACTGAAATATCACAAGATATAAAAAACACAATTAAAAGATATCAAACCAAAAAATTCTAATTAAAATTACTAAAAAAAATGTATTCTTAAAACATTTATTAAGCTTTTAAAATAAGATACCGAGCTCAAAAATACAATAGTGACTTCTATTAAATTTGTAACTATAAAACAGTAATTTTAATTAGTTATACAGTCAAAAGTCGTTAATTCGAACACCCATAATCCAGAATGATCTATAATCCGGACCTCAATGCTACAAACTTTCTGCGCATGCGGCGCGTTGACGCATGCGCGTAAGACCTTTATGGCTGCGAATTTGCGTGTGCGCAAAATACGTTTACGAATGCACGTTTAATGTATAACGGACGGAATAAGCTAAGCTAAAATTATCTAATTATCTATTTCAATTAATGTTGCAGATTGCATTGTTCCTTAATCTTCGAATTGGATCCGGCTTATTATTTTTTGCAGACTGTTAGAGCAATTTTATAAAAGTAAGCTTGAACTTTCGATTATTTCAAATAGAATTTCCGATATATATTTACTAATATATAAAGGATATACAAAGTGAAAGTATCTTTTGGAGTCCATTAAACAAAAAGTGGAATTGCTGCAAAAAATGGATAAAGGCATATCCTTTGTTTATCTAAACTTTGTTTATCTTTAACGCCATGGAGCGCAATGAATTGGAAGTTGATCTGTCAACACTATCCTTATCTTAAGGACAGATGTTTTTATTTTATTTGGCTTATAATTGCTTACTAAATGTGGTATTTCCTCTCGATGTACTCCGTCTTTGATATGATTTAAGTCAAATGCCTCGTCACTATAATTCGCTTCCGATAGCGAAGAAAGTAACAGAGGTTATTGAAAACGAAAAAATTTCGATTGACAAATTAGTCGCTATTCTCGACACAGCAATTATAGGACTTGAACAGCGGAACTTTGTAACTGAACAAGAAATTATGTCTGTTTATGGAATTAAAGAGAATGTATTATCACATAAAAAACAAAGCAAGTTAAACAACTTACATTGAAAGAAATGTTTAATAAAGTAAACAAATAAATATTAAGCTTTTTTTTTTTTTGTAAATTTTGATACCCTTTAGATCATAATTGTTCTTTATTTCGTGAACTATGGTTTCATATTTTTAATTTTATAATTTCTGCATGCCATTTTACCAGATTTAAACTGATGATCTATAATCCGTAAAAATGGATAATCCGGAATCGCCGAAGTCCCGATGAGTCCGGATTAACGACTTTTGACTGTACTACCATACTTACTCACGTAATAGTCGCACTCCCCGTTTTGCAGCACAAAAATCATTAAAAGCGTATGATATAGTGTAGTAAATTTCCCCGCATAATAGTCACATCGGGACTTTCACAGTGAAAAATTGGCAAAAAAAGTGCAACTATTATGCGAATAAATACGTTAATTTTAAAATGATTTTTATTATATATTAACTATTACCAGAAACTCTTATTAGTGCTAACTGGTATTTTTTTTGGCATTGATTTTCCCTCTATTTTGGTAATGCATACTTCTTGAAAATAAATATGGAAACATACAATAGCTTTCTTTTGCACACTCAGTTCTTGTCAAAGTTTGGGTGACAGTAGCATCTTCACCAATGATAAATATCTGGTTGTAACGAAAGTTTACCACCAAAAAATGTTCTTAATAAAGTTAGGAAAGTCTATGATTTTCTGCCAACATTTTGGTAATTTTTCAAAGTCTTTGATCCATAAATTTTGTGGCCATGAATCCAAAAATAGATCAATCTCATTTCAGACATCCTCTGCAGAATGGAGGATAGCACCAGCAAGATGTAGCTGCAGGTGTGTAAAAAGTTAGAAATCCAAAGGTGCGATGTCGGGGCTATATGGTGGGCATGGCAAAAGATCCCATTCAAGTACCCACAGTTCAGTCATAGAATGCAGACACATGTGGTTTTGCATTACCTTGATAGAACATTACCTTTTTGCGCCAGAACTCAGTTCGATGTTTTTCCTTGATAGCAGCATCAACATGGATTAGCATCTCACTGTACACCTTACTGTTGAGGGTTTTACCTTTTACCAGATACTCTTTGTGGATAGAACCATGGCAATCCCACCAGATAGAAAGCATAATCTTTTAGTTAGTCAAATTTCACTTTGCGACGCTGCTGACAGGGTCACAGGTGGCAGACCAACACCTTTTTCACCCTGTGTTGTTGAAGTAAATCTACTTTTCATCACAATCGATGATCTGGTCCAGAACTTTGTCTTTGCGTTGATATTCAAGCAGATTTGTGCAGGCCTAAACATGTCTATCCTTACCTGCTTGAGTCAGCTCATGTGGCACCCAGCAATTGAAATTGCACATCAAGTGTATGCGATGCATAGTGTGACTAATAGGCCTGACACTAACATCTAACTCTTTAGCAAGCACTTAAGTGGTTGCATACTGATCTTCTTCCGCAAGTTTTTGTAGGCAGGTGCCATCAATCTCGGTAGGCCAGCCACAGCACTGTGCTTCTTGAATGTCATAGTCCTTGAACTTTTGGTATCAAACCTTCACAGTGCGATATGATACAGCATTAGTACCTAAAGCTGTACATATGATTTGGTGACATTCTGTAGTTGACCTTTTGCAATAGAACTGGAATTAAATGATGGTTCTAATCTGGTAGCAATGATAGTTCCATTTCAGACACCTAGAACTTAATGGTGAGAAATTTTTTTTTAAACAACACAGTGTTCTAAAGCAAGTCTCTTTCCTTCAACTTCCAAAAATTGTTTGACAAAATATGATTAAACATGCTAACACGAATAGTTTGTGCAGACAATATTTGCAGTGGCAGCAAACTTTCGTTAAAATTCGATAAATCATCTGCGATTTTTAAATGTGATCTGGATCCTTTTGAATGATTTCCCTTAACTTAGTGAAGGCTTTATTTTTTTTAAGTTGCATTACCATACGCTTTTTTTAGTTTTCTATAATCACAAAAATGCATTATAGATATTACTCTATGCAAATAAGAATATTTACAAATATTCAGTAATACTTTGAAATTCTGGAAATGTAAAAAACTTCTAATTCATTATTTGGCAATACAACAATGACTCAATTTGTTCCATTATAAATAAATAAAAATAATAATTAAATGCAAAATAAAAGTTTTTAAAAAAAGAACTCTAACTGGAGACGTTTGGGATAATCTACACATATTAAGATTTAAGACTGTTATACTGTATTTCCAAATTTAAAGTTGATACAGACAAACCAATGCTATTTTTTATATTAGCATCTAAAACTGATTTATTTTCAAAGCAATTTTATTATTTTAATCCTTCTGTTTTCAAGCGTTAGTACTAAAACTACAAATTTGTTCAGATATAGCACATATTTAGGTCAGAACAAAAACTTGATAGTAGCAAGACATAAAAATCTGTACCAAATGTATTTCACTCATATAGCACCAAATTCATACAAAGTATAGAGGCCATTCATTCTATTTAAAACATAAAAACAAAATACAATGACAGGAAAATTAAAAACTTCTGAAGGATATATCTTATTTACTGCATGCAGAAGCGCAATAAACTACAGCATTTTAATCCTCATTCTTTCTACTCTGACATTAGTTACATGAAATCGAATATTACATGATGACAATATATGGTAGATATATATTATCGAAACCACCTTAGTAGAAACCAATAAATTTTCAGAATGCGCATGATCTGGTAACTATGCGCATAAATATTCATAAAGTAACCAAGCTTATTAACAATTCTTCAATCAAACATCACCATCTTCATATGCATTCTTCTTGTATTTCCAGTTCTAATTTTCTTTTATAAAGAAATCGTGACTTTTTTTTAATCAATTTCAAAATATGTGCTTGTGGAATTTACCAGCAATGGAAGAAACAGTGCTAAAACTTCTAGAGGAATGCAATGTGCTGCAAAATTGCTAAAGGGAACAATTGTTTTGAATCTGTTGTTAAAGCGATCATCACTAATTTCCATCATAAAAAAAGGTATAAAAACTAGCTTGTAAGGAGATTTATTTTTGATTTTTAGATATATACCTAACTACAATGTAATACTGAATGATTTAAATTCACTTAGTTCAAAAACAAGTTTTTTCTAATACTTGCGCAATAGCCCTGCTGCCGATAAAAGAATTTCGAACACACACTCCGAGTAAGACACAGAAGAGAACACTTTACGAACATCCCATTAGAAAGAACGTAAGCATTTTCTGGCCTTTTATATTTCATGTACATTTCACATTTCATTATTTCTTATTATATATACAGTCAAAAGTCTTTAATCCGGACTCGTCGGGACTTCGGCGATTCCGGATTATCGATCATCAGTTTAAATCTGGTAAGATGGCATGCAAAAATTATAAAATTAAAAATATGAAACCATAATTTATTAAATAAAGAACAATTATGATCTAAAGGGTATCAAAAATTTACAAAAAAAAAAAAAAAACAAAAAGCTTTTAATATTTATTGTTTACTTTACTAAACATTTCTTTCAATGTAAGTTGTTTAATTTGCTTCGTTTTTATGTGATAATACTTTCTCTTTAATTCTATAAACAGACATAATTTTTGTTCAGTTACAAAGTTCCGCTGTTCAAGTCCTATAATGCTGTGTCGAGAATACCGACTAATTGTCAATCGCAATTTTTTCATTTTCAATAACCTCTGTGTCACTTTCTTC